CCCCCTGAAGTAGATAGAACATAGGGTTTAGGGCCGGTTTAGGGGTTAGGAATTAGGGTTTTGGATTTAGGGTTTAGGGTGTAGGGCTTAGGTTTTGGTTGTCCCGCTTAAGTAGATTTTATAGGGCTTCATAGGATTTCATAGGGTTTATAGGGTTTACAGGGTGTTAAAGGGTTTTGTAGGGATAGTGGAAAAAAATGGAAACTACTATATTATATGGGAGTTATATAGGAGTTATATGGGAGTTATATAGGGGTAATATAGGGGTTATATAGGGATAATGGAAAAGCAAATGGAAACTACTTTATTGTAATAGGGCATATATTGGGGGTATAGTCCCCCTTAAGTAGATAGAAGATGGGTTATATGGGGATCATATTATAACATTCCCAGAGCTATATTCTATCTACTCAAGGGGGACTATAGTTTTCAGGGATTAGGGTTTAGGGTTGAGGGTTCAGGGTTCAAGTTTCAGGCTTTAGGTTTTAGCCTTCAGGGGTAAGGTTTTCCATTATGGAAAATCATTTCGCACAGATGTTTTCCTTATAACGAAAACATCTCGTAGGGAAGCCAGGAAGTCTCCTGACACGAGCTGCTGGATGCAACGAGCTCGCTCTCGCTGTGCCATAGTTTAGGATTCAGAGTCTGCTGTTGCCACATTGGGTTCTGCAGGGCCACATCTACAAATGAAATTAATACATGTTTAGATTAATGAATATATATATATATAGAGAGAGAGAGAGAGAGAGACAGAGAGAGAGGGAGAGAGAGACAGAGAGACTAGCTATGTATATATTCCAAGGCTGAGACGACAAGAGTTTAAGGTCAGAGCTGTCGAAGTCCTCGCTGGAGAGCCAATCTTCCATCTCCTGCAAGGGCGTAGGGTTTGGGGTTTGGGGTTTAGGGTTTTGGGCATAGGGTTTAGGGCGAGGGTTTTAGGTTAAGTTCGAGTTTAGGGGTTTTGGGTTTTAGGTTTAGGGCTTGGGGCTTAAGTTTAGGGATGTATTCAGGGCTTTAGCGTTATAGGTTCAGGATTTAGGATTCATACCTCATAGTCACACAGGAATGCTGAAAAGCTTGATGCCTGCTCGGGGGAAATAAGGACCGGGACCCGGCATTTCCTATCCCAATCGAGTTATATCCACCATATCAACCTGGCTAACAAATCTCGCAATAAGAGCAACTTCACGCTTTGAGTTCCCTTTAGCAGCCAGTGAGTGCCATTCCAATTACATACACGTTTCTCTGACGACCTGGGGAGTTTAGCCTGGAGATCAGTGGCCATTTTCCCCCCAAGCAGCCCAAACCCCAAACTCTGAAGTCTAAAGCCCTTTGAACTCTGAATCCTAAAGCCTAGTAGTTTCCATTTTCTCTTCCATTATCCCTACACAATCCCTATATATCCCTAACTCTATAGTAGTTTCCATTTTGTTTTCCGTCATCCCCATATAATCCCTTATGACTAAAATGCATCAAAACACCTCTTCCACCCTGCAAGAGTAGGCCACGGGCGACCTCGATTAAGCTTCCGTGGAAGTCCTCTCCAGATGTGCGGAAACTGGGGCTTGCTGTAGGGTACTTTTCGTCATGCAAACATGGAACACCAAAACACCAGTCTTGAAGGGACGGTAATACAAAAGCCAAAGCACTTACTGATATCATTGTCCTAGGTTTCTGGTATACGCCTAGTATTGGGTACCTCAGATCTACCTCCAAATGACGTTGGAAATTGTTCAGGCCCCTGCGTGACATAATCCCTATAAACTCCATACCGGAACAAACCCCGTTTCCATTTTTCGGCAAGTTTCATTTTCCACGATAGGGGCGAATATCCCTGAAAACTTCCACCTTGCACCCTAAACCGTATACTCCCCCCATAACCCTTATATGATCCCTAGATCACCTAAGGTAGTCTACCAAGATCACCTCTTCAGGGTGAATGTTAGTTCATTGTGGGTGTCTCGCGACTTTAGGATACAGGAGCATCATGACAAGGGCCTTCCGTGCAGGTACCTTGCAGGTGCAGGGGCCTGGTAGAAATTCTGAGGGTAAGGGGCTCATCATCTGGGAGCGTACAGAAGGAATTCTGAGTGTAACGGGCTTATGGTTTAGGGGCGTAGAGGAACGATACTTTCACTTGAAGCCAAGGCTAAGGGCTACAGTTGCTTCATAAACCCAGTATTGCATCTCCACATGATAACTGAGGCATGGAAATGGAGATAACGGTACACCTCGGGAGTAGTGCAGTTCTCTCGGCACCATCACCAGCAGATGATGAATTCGGCTGCTGTAACTGCTACTGCCATTGCAGCTACACTCCTACTGAGACAGATAGGAACTGTGGACTGTGGACAGCGCAAAGATAATTCTAGAAATTCGTCTATGTGCAAGCAAGTCGCATGCATAAGTTTCCGAAGATACCCCGGCCCTAGACCCTAAGCCCTAGATCCTAATTAAGGGAGACGCATATACTCTGCCTTCCATACATACTTAGGGCCGCGAGGCTCGCCTCATATCAGTATTCTGGGATGCGGGAAGCGATCAAAGCCAGAATGGAGGGTCCTTCAAGCTTTGTGGTACCCAATAATATAGGGCTTAGGGCCCTATAATGGAGAATCAAATGGAAAAGAAAATGGAAAATGAAATAGAAACTGGAATGACATATTGGATAAGCTCTGTAGGGCTCAGGGTTTAGGATTTCTGAGAGGCCCCGGGGACTTAGTAAGTAGGTTCTCAAGGGCACTATAAGCAAACCTGAACCTTCAAGTAGACCTTGCACCCTAAACCTTAAACCTTACACCCTAAAGCACTGCCTGGACCCCAAAAGTATGTAAAATAATGGCCTTTATGGCTATTATTAGGGGTTTAGGGCTATTCTTTTGCATACTTTTGGGGTGATCCTTTAAACCTTACACCCAAGGGGTGATCCTTTAAACCTTAAACCTTACACCCTAAAGCACTGATCCTTAAAGCCCGGGTCATCGCCCGAAACGGTGAAGCTGTGATCCTTTCGGCTGGGTGGCTCAGTCATCCCCAAAAGCCTCGCCCCTGTATGTCCCGCATAGTATATATATGTATATACATTAGGGTTTAGGGTTTAGGGTTTAGGGCTTAGGGTTTAGGGTTTATACATATATATATATCTAAAGAGAGAGAGAGAGAGAGTCCCCCTTAGCTAGATAGAATATGGGGTATATGGGGAGCTGATTAGAACATACCCAAAGCCATATTCTATCTACCTAAGGGGACTATATACACACACATATATATGTATAATATGTAGATACATTGAAGGAGGAAGGGTTCCAAAATTAGGTTGGCCTTTTGCGGCATCCTAAATGAAAAGGCCGCATTGTATGGGGTACCCAAGAGCGGACCATAAATTTGACAACCTACCATATTTTCATCAGCCAGCCTTTTCATTCCCCGTAACCTTCTTAGAACGGAACCGGGTCCTCCATGCTTGGATGCGGCGGAGAGCTGCCGTTCAGAGCACTTGCCAGGCTTTAAGGCTCAGAAATTTAGGGCTGTAGGGCTAAGGTTCTTGTAATCTTAAGCTGCATAGGACGTAGGATCTAGGGCTTCAGAACTGGCTTTTCAAAGAAGCGCTGACACAAAGACTGAAAGGGTCGGTTTTAAGCACTGCGCTGTAGGAAATTGAATGGTTGTTGATGATGCATCCTTCGTCGTGCGTCTGACCATGGCTCACTGCGACTCGGACTATAGTCTGCAATGCCTCATGCGATGCCTCAAACATGACTCAGATGAACTTGAACAACCAGTGCTCAACCTCAAATCCCAACCCAGGGCCTCAGATCCAAACATCATGCTTGCCACAAACCTTTGTCATATTCCATTTCATACATGCTCGTTAGCAGCGCCCACGATTTTTCAGCTTGAGCCATGAGGCCAGGAGGCGTACACGGGTTAGCTTTGAGGTATTCTAATGATTCTAACACGGAGATTTTGGTAACCCCAATCTCCCGAATTTGGACCCCATGACTATCATATGCTGGTTATAAGGTCTCAGTGTTGGGGGTTGGGCTTACCAACAACCTTTTAGTATATTCGGTTTTCTAGCTTGGGACCCTGAACCTGAAACCCTCAACTCCGGGGAGCATTGCCTCCGTCCCATTGAATTCTGCAGGCAGATGGTCTCCTCAACAAACCATATTATACTACATTATATGATATGATATGATATGATATGATATTGAACTAATTATACCAGATCATGCTATGTTATGTTAGATAATACCATCTTATACTCCATCTTATACTATCTATACACATATACTATGTAACTGCCTCAAAGCTGCAGCTACCCCAGAATTCTGAACACTACACCACCACCCTCAACCCAGAACGCAAAACCCTAAAACATCAACCACAAAACCCAAACCGTAAAACCGTAAACCTTAATACCGCAAACCCTTACATCCCCAAACCCTAGACCCTAACTTCCAAGCCCTAAATCGCAGAAATCTTTTAACCCTGGACCCTAAAACCTAAACCCCCAGAGCCCTTGATGCGAGCGTTCACAATGTTTTTTGCTGCTCGCGTCGCATCCGCCGCAGGGGCATGAGGCACATCGGGGCTATATTGGGGCTATATTAGGGTTATATTGGGGTTGGGGTTATATTAGGTTCTATTAGGGTTATATTATATTGGTATATATTGGTATATTAGCTTCTATTAGGGTTATATTGGGGTTATATGAAGTTCTATTAGGGTGGTATTGGGGCTGCGTGCGTCTACACAAATCCCTCACACCCGATACCCAAATCCTAGACCTAGGTAGGCAATGACACAACAGTGTTATCATGGTAATAGTGACAGGAGTAGTAGCAATAATAACAGTAGTAGTAGTAGTAGTAGTAGTAGTTTTAGTAGTAGTAGTAGTAGTAGTAGCAGTAGCAGTAGCAGTAGTAGTAGTAGTAGCAGCAGTAGTAGTAATAGTAGTTGTTGTTGTTGTTGTTGTTTTTGTAGATGTTGTTGTTGTTGTTGTTGCTG